AGAGCGTATTAATTATTTTTATATCTGAGGGGATGGGGAAAAAATTACTAATTGTATTTAGTAAAAACAACTGTGCTTTAGGTATCCAAAATTTAAAATATAATATATTTACAAGAAGCCAAGATCTACACTTTTGAATATTTTTAATAAAAGCTACAAGACTTTTTTTTTTTTTTCCTGGGAACTGTGATTTTTTAAATTTATTTTTACAAAGTGCATTTGCAAATACCTTGTGAGTCAAATACTTGGTGTTAATAAATTCCAGTAGTGTGCTTGTGAATATTGCAAGCAGACTTGTTAAATACAGGCATTAACAGCAACTGTTCATTATGACAGGGCCTTAATTACATGATTTTCTTGCTTTTTTTTTTTTTTTTTTTATGTGGTAGATGAAGCAAATGTTGACATTTTATTCAGTACTGAAGATCTTGGCTTTTCTGATGCCTTTATTGAACGGATCAGAATTTCTCCAGATCAGAGATATATGGCCATCAGCTTAAAAAGTGAAAATTCTGAAGAGACAACCTGCGTTATTATGAAACTTGGTGATTTTCCTGTGGTGAAAGAAGTAATTTCAAATGTATTTAATTTTGGTAAGTTGATTATAAACATACTGTGGATCACACCAGCTTTCAACATTTCTGTAAGTCTACAAGTAACAGATATTTTTTAAAAAGGAAGCAACATTTTTAGATTCAATCCTTACAGCTGCTGAATTTATTTCTCCCACACTGCACAATTACAAGTTATCTGATGTGGGTGAAAAGCGACTGCTTTTATGATACGACTTCTTGTTCATTGTAAAAGCAAACATTTATACGTGTTTGAACAGTCACACATATCTTTATTTAATTCAATACACTTCTTCAAAAATTTACTGACGTAACTATTTGCAATATAAAGAACTTTTTGAGAAATGTTGTAGTTATTAAACCCTTACAGCTACAACTGTAGTCACTGATAGCTGTAGGCACTTTTCTTCACTGAAAAATGTGCAGGTGCTGCCTAACTATTAAGTATTGGCTGGAACGTCAGCTAGGATATGGGTCACCATTCAAAGCCCAAACAGGCCTTAAGTCAATGCCTTTATAATAGATTACAGCGCTTTACGCTGCTGTTAAAATAAGCAAAAGTAAACTGAAGTGAATGGGAAATCTTTCTCTTTTTTTGTGTGGTATGTTAAAGAATCTAGCAAAAGTAGTGCAGTAATGTGTATACAAGTTCCACGTCTTTTATTTTGGATTATATTTTTAGCCATCATCGAGTATATATATAGTACAGTGAGGAATTTGCCTGGGCAGGGCATGAATTTAAAGCTGTAGGTAAAACTTCCTAGTTCCAGAAATGAAGAGTAGCAGGAATTTAATTTTCTAAGTGTTTGCACAACTGAAGTTTATAATGCCTGTTGAAAGCCAGGCCTGAAAATTTATCAGTGACATTTTTCACTATACTCGATTTGAATAGCTCTCTAGGTTTCTCTGGAGAATCAGTACATTTGAAAAAAACAGCTCCCCATTGCCTCCATAGGTGTGACAGATTATGGCAGGTAATAAAGAGTACAAAAAATTACTATTGGAATGGTAGAAATTACACCCATTTTGTAAACCTACTCAAGTGCAGGTGAGGTACAGAGGTATCACAAAATACAGCGGTATCTCGATCTGAGGGGAAAAAAAAAATGTTATGACTGCTTGCAAAGTGGATTCTTATATAGCATGATAACCAATAGCAGGCAGACAAATGAAAGGTCTTGAATATTTAGATCTTCATAGTGAACCTTCAGCCGACTGTGCACTTTAAAGCCACATTGCTGTGCAGATAACAAATGGTTTGCATTTCTTCAGTGTGGTACTACTTGAGTTTTGCACTGAAAATCAGTATTTATGCATAAGACAGCATATAGTAGCTTTTTTAAGTGTCTATATTAAACATCATTCTGGTGGCTGTTAGAGCAGCAGAGATAGCAGCAATTTGGCTGGATCAGTCAGATTACTAAACTTCAGAATAGCAAAGTTTCTCTATTTATACATTTCTAATGTTGGTTAACACATACACAAGCATAGAAAACTGAAGAACTTAGATCTCAGCAGTACCCATGGGACACATGCATCATCTCTTTTCTCTAAATGGTTTGCATGCAGTGGTGCAGCACTCATTATCTTGCTGACTCCATTTAAGCCTCTGTTTCTCTGCTCAATTTTAAACAGCCACACATACTCTATTTTCCTCTTGCCTCCAGATCTCCCACAGGAGCTCCGTTTTCTACCAGTAATAGTATATACTTCACATATATAGATTGTTCCAACTTTGATGTGTTTGTCTTTTTTCCAGAATGGGCTACAAATGATGTTCTGTATTACACAAGTCAGAAGAATCTTAAATGCCAGAATGTGTTTATGACCACTTTCACTAATCAGAAACATACTAAGTTAGTTTATACAGAACAAGATGCAAGGTAATATAACAAGTCCTTTACATACATAAAGTATTTTATGTATAAAATGTAACTGGTTTGGAAAACAAATTCTTCCATATCATATTTAAAATGGTAAAAGGCATTTTTTTAGGGTTTTTTTCTGCTGTCAGTAGTGCCTTATGCAGTCTCAGAATGTTCTCTGTTCCCCTCTTGATATGTGATCAACAGAGATTTAACTTTCCTCTCTTACCTCACGAGTTCAGCTGAGTTTATAAATGTCAAGGTCAGTCTCAGGTCAGGGTGTCCTTTAATGAATGTGTGACAGTTTCATACAGGGTAAATCAGACTGTGGATTTCTGTTTGTTTTATCTGCTATTGATGTCTGATACATCTTTTTAAAAACACAGAAGTTCAGGCTAATCCTTGCTCTGGGTAATGGATGAGCAAAATCATTATAGCATTCCTAGAGACAGAACTATTGTTGACTGAATACCCTCTCAATAACCTTTCTTTAAGGAGTGGTTAAAGAAGACAAGAAAGCTCTTGCTGAATTGAGTGCAGAACTAGTTTTTCAGCCATGTAACATGGCAGATTTCTACAGCATTCCATAAATGTTTGTGATTATTCCTAATTCAACTTATGTATTCAGTAAAGAAATTTCAATTATACTTTCATCTAAAAAACCAGAAAAAAATCAGCAGTTGAGATGGAGAAAATAAGATCCTTTTGTTCAAGCTGCATTTGATGCATACTTTTGGACAATCAAGTTGCACTGACCTGACACTTCCCCACAGGGAAACTGTTGGCATAATTCTGAAGGTCATGGTCATTACAGTAAATCTACTAGAAACTTACACGAAAGGTTCATATGCTATTGCAGCTCATAACTGAACTCACTTGTTCATTGGAGATGGCAAGACATTCTTTTGTGTTGGCATTGAGCTGCTCTGTTCTACATCTCACCAGCTCTTTCAGGTGCAATCCATTTTTCTTGTTTTAGAAGCTGAAAATTTCTTGGCTTTCTTAAAAAAAAGCTACAAAGACAAAAAAAGTAGTATTGAGGTTAGAGTCCTTGAGAAGAAGCATAACCTGTATTTCAGCTTGACTGTCTTAGAGGTAAGGTCAGCAGACCTGAACTGTTGGAATCTCTACTGAAAGCAGTGCCATGCTCTTGCCAAATTTGTGTGCATTAGAGAGGCAGGAGGCTGATTCCTTTCAGACCTGTGTCTGTCCTCCTAAAGATGTCAAGAGGGTGCAATTAGAAAAAACACTAGTACCAAAAAAAAATATAGTTCCTCCACCTGCAAATGATTAAAGGCACTGAAAATGCTATCTAAAGCATCTTTTCCTTCACCAATCAAATCTTTTGAAGTCTCAAGGGATCATTATCACAGTCATGTATCTGAACTGTATAATGCAGATTACAGCAGTCAACCCTGCAGTTTCTTGATCAAATCTTCTGGGTCTTTGGTTGGACATTGTTTTGCTTTTAGAGACATCCAGTCTTAAAGATTCAAAATGGCAAAGAAACTGGTATGTCCCAAGATGTGACATTACAGTTAATTAGGATAACTCATTGGAAATTTCAATTTCAGCCTGAACATGTCTAATATTAGCATCTAGCCACTGATTAACATTCTGGGGTTTTTTTCTAGATTTTAGAAGTAGTCAAAACCAGTAGATAGTTCCTAGATTCTTAAATAATTCCAAAACCAGTTCCTAGTTTCCAGTTTTATTACTTCAACAGTGTCTTGTCTCACAGAGGCCTCTGTACTAATTTTTTTAAGTCTTTTTATGTCTTACTTGCTTCAGACAAAGTTAGGTCAGTAACACTTAGGCTTTTTATCAATTTATCTTTAATTCCTGCTTTCCTTTTTTTATTGGTGTTCCCACATAATGTCCGATTTTAATTAAATTATCTGTTAACTGCTGGTTTTTTTAATAGGGTTTCAAGCTCCGTAAGAAGTTCTACATTTTGCATGAATTTTTAAGCCTGTATACATCAATGAGCCTCCAGTATCCATAATGCAAAAACCTGTATTTGGCTGGGCAACAGTCTTTTCTTGCAGATTTCAGGTTCCACACACATGGGATTGTGGGGTTTTGAATCCCAGAGTAAATGCTGCAGAAGTGGGTTTGGCAACTAGTTAGTCTGGAAATACTGCAGCCTCCTTATAGGCATGGTGCTTCTTATCTTGCAGGTGGAAGCCCATGATTCTGAAACAACCAATGTGTTTTTTTTTTAAATACTAATCAATGTTAAACCTTTTTTTTTAATTATTCCTTACAGATTCTTTGTGGACATATGTTGCACAAAAGACAGACGTTTTCTCACTATCAACAGCAACAGCAAGACAACATCAGAAGTGTGGCTGGTTGACTGTAGACATCCTTTTAAGTTACCCACTCTTGTGCAACCAAGAACAAAAGGGGTCATTTATCACGTTGAGCACAGAAATGATGAGTTATATATTCTTACTACGTATGGAGAGCCTGCAGAATATAAGGTAATGAGAATTTCTTAAAAGATTCATAGGATTAATTCATTCTTTACTGAAATAATGTAAGAGGCGTACACAGAGAGCTACACAGATTGAAAGACTGAGAGTAGTACATGGAGTCTTGCCTGTTACGTGCCAATTTGATCCCAACTCCTTTGGCAAGGTCAGGAAATGAGTACACTTCAGCAGTCATTTCCCCATACTTGAAATTTAAATAGTGATCTCAGTCTGCATAACCAAACCACCTACCTTTCTCCTGGCCACACTAACAGCACTTACTTCATGAAAATCATCTTTAGATTAGTCTATGAGAATTGAACTTATTTTTCCAAATGCTACAGAATAGTTCTTCCATTTTGTCCAAGCAAAGGGAGTTTAAAAACCTCAAGATCTAGCAGGCAAAAACCTCCTATACAAACTAGTATTTTTATTGCAATAAAAATGTTTTATGAGAACACCTCTCTGTCTGAACATCTCATTTGTAACATTAAACATCCTAGTAATGTAACATGCTAGTAATGCAAAGTTGTTTTTTGTTGTTACAGTTGATGAAGGCACCAGTAGCTTCCAGTGGCATAGAGAACTGGCAGTTATTTTATGCACTGGAAGAGAAAACCAAGTTAGTAGACTTGGAGATGTTCAGTGATCACTGTATTATGTTCCTGAAGAATGCTGGTCAGCTTTACTTAAATGTGATTTCTTTTGTTTCACACTCAGTTCAGTCAATAAAGGTATGTTTCAGCTTGGCTTAAGCAACATATTTTCTCCAGCACTATTTCATTTTTTGTTTAGCATAGCATTCTAATGAAAACAATTAAAAATTCCAAGAGCAGAAGCAGTTTGGAAACTATAATACTGCCAAGTTTATCATTATGAGGAATTGTATTACCTGTGGCTGTTCTTCAGGATTTCAGGTGGTGGCTTATTGTAGCACCTGGGAAGCTAAGAGAGCAACTATCCTACAAGGCAGTTCTTTCTTCAATTTACTGCTGTCAAGCTCTTTATAATACAGCTGATTGCCAATGTAAAATAGGACTTGAGTCCTTAAACACTCAGTTTTACTGGGCCTATTTTTGGTTACACTTACCAGTGTAAGCAAGGAAATAAGCCTCCCACAGAAGATTAGAACATACAGATGACAAATATGGACACTGCAGCACAATTTGTGCAAAATAAGTCTTCCCTTTTCTAGTTGTTGCTGGATACATGTGGATTAAAAATAGAGTGACTCAATTCAAAATCATGATTTCTAGCGACCATTCAGATGAAATAATTAATTGATTTATTTGCCTGAAAAATAACAATATGAAGAATTCACAAGTTTATTGTGACAAGCTACTAATGCTGCTTTCTGTGAAACTGCTACAGAAAAAGGTTTTCCAAATACGCTATATAGTCTCTGAAACCCTTCATTTTTTTTTAAAAGGGTCTTAGCTTATTTATTCAGAAAGGGTCAGCAGTTACCCTGGAGAACTTGCTGCCATTTCAGAACTCTCTAGCAGCTTAGCCCAAGTAAGCAGTGGCCTGGCAGAGGGTTTGACTGTGTCCCTGCTGCTCTCAAAGAATGACTCTTGATTTCTTTTATTCTTAGCAGAGTTAAAAATCTTAAATATAATAGCAGTAAGTGTCTGAGGGTGAATGTGCCAGGAAAAGGTTTTGTTCTTCACAATGGCTGGCACTAGGAACCAAGTCAAAAAGCAGGGGTTTTCAGTGGCTTAGCATTACTGAGCTAACTCACAGCAAAAGCATAACAACTGACATGGACTTGGCTGAATAACATGTTGAAATAGGACTGGAAATCAGAGGGGAAATAGGATCTAAAAAACCAAAACCAATGCAGAATCATTTCAAAGAACATATTAATTTAAAAAAAATATAAACCTCTGCACTAACAACCATTTTAAACTGAATTTGGATTTTTCTTTTTCATTTCACTGTTGAACTTTAACCAGTGACCTTAGGGGAAAAGTTTGTCAAAGTCTTTCACTTTTTTACTGTTTCATTACTGAATGTAAAAGAAATACAGATTGTGCTATGTACAAACTGAAGATAATTACCTTGAAATTCTCTAGGCAAAATTTACAGAAGCCATGTCAGGGTCTCACTTCAAATGCTGTGTTTTCTTAGCTACCTACGTGGGCCTGTGAATTTGAATTGGAATCTCATCCTGAACCTACCACCGGCACTTGCTATTTTCAGCTCACCTCCCCAGTACACCCCCCTAAGCGTTTTGCATATTCATTTAAAGAAAATAATCTCATTGAACAAGCTGTGCAAGAGGTACCAATTATTACGAATTGTCACACTACACGTTTACTAGCTAAAAGCAAGGTAAGATTTTTCAGTCCTTTTCCCATTCCCTTTATTCTTCCCTTCCTCCCTACCCATTTAAAGAAAATGCATTTGGCAGGGAATACAGATTTAAAAATGTAAAGAGCAGCTGGTGCTATAGTTACTAAACAGTGGGTGTTTTCTTCGGTGCTACAGAGAAGAACAAGAAAGAGTCGTGATAAGATTTTTTTTCCCATTGCCCTGGGTATGCTACAGGAGATAACAGTACATGACGAGTCAAGAATCTCAGTATAGTGTAACTCAGAATTGCTAGTTGAGGCATCTATGCTCTGTTATAAATGAAAGAGATGCCATCTGTTGAAAAGAACACCCCACAACCAGCTGCACAGTGTAGATCAAGGCTCTTGAAAGTTTTAACAGACCGAGTTTAAAAAAATAGGAGATGTTAATAAAGAGTTTGTGCTGCAGTAAGTGGTAAACTATTTTGTTAATAATAGATATTCTTGGTGTTAAAGCAGGAAGGAAAACTTGGGTGTTCTGGTAGTTTAAAAACTCCTCAGGTGTTGCACTTAACGGAATTTTACACTCTGCATCCATAAGCCTACACAGCAGAGGTTGAGTCTCTTGCTTTATTTTTCAAGAGTGCTTTGTACATTATAAGTGAAAAAAAATTACTGTAATCAAAAAAACACATTTTAAAATAAATAATTGAAGTTTTCATTGCCATGTGTCATTGAGATTTCTAAAATGTCTTTTATTGTAAAATACTCCTTCATTTCCAGGATGAAACTTTGGTGCCAATTACAGTTTTTCATAATACGAATTCTAAAGAGCTACACAGGAAACCACTTCTAGTTCATGTATATGGAGCTTATGGCATAGATTTGAACATGAGCTTCAGAGAAGAGAAGCTGCTGCTAATTGAAGAGGGTTGGATATTAGCATATTGCCATGTTAGGTAAGTCAAATAAAAAATGGAAGTAAGATTTCAATCTGGGGAAAACAGGTATTTTTTTATATGCAACTGAAGGGGTACAAAAAGAATTTTTTCATGTAGCTATACCTAATTCTTCATGCTTTTCACTTCCATCTCTTTTTAGATACATTTTTTTAAGTCGTTTTTAACTAAAAAATACATTTACCTCAGGGGAATAAAACATCACACTTTCGAGACCACATGCTGCATTTACATTTGTTAAATCAACAGGATGTTTGTATGTAGCTTTTAATCTTCTCAAGTCTCATTACTTCTTGTGGCATCTTTACTCAAGACAAATGTTGATAACATGTTCCAAGTGCAGTCACGTGCTTCCTCCCTCTCTTTCTGAGGCCATTGTGTACTAATGTTCTGTCTGCATCTTCTGAAAGCCATTTGCCTTCTACAGCAGCAACTGAGCATTTAACCTTCATCTCTTGTTCTTTTATTGGCTAAACCCTCCCTCTCAAGTTTAGCTAAAAAATCTGGTTTTATAAAACCACTGTGTACAATAGTCTTCATATTTTCATTGAGGTAAGAGTTCAGTAGGTAAAGAAGGTAACAAAAGAACCACTTTAGGCAGGGGAAGGAAAGGGGAGAATGAGCAATTGTTTGAAACACCAGTTGCAAAGCAGATTCAGCATACAAATATATTCAACCTGCTAATGCAGTAGCAAGCATTGTGCTGTTCTTCCTCCCACCCCTTTAAGTATCTTAAGATGCAAGCCAGTCCTGGGTGAAGAATCCATCTTCATCAAAGATGAGGAATTTTGGCAGTCTCATCAGTTAATTTTAAACATTAAATAAGGAAACTTCAGGTGGCTTAAAACTAAAATTGTAGTTGCATAAAAAGGAATATAAATTGATTTTTAATTTCTGTGAGTATTACAATATGTCACATTTCATGTAGTATTTAAAATACTGAAACTACAAAAAAAAAAAAACCAACAACAAACCACTTTCTAACAACCACATAATTTAAGTTACACAGAAGACATCTTGAGAGTCTCAGTGTGGAACTGAAATATACTATTTTAATCTTTTTAACAAATGCTAGTGTTAGCAAGAAGTATTGAAAATGTTTTAGTTATATTTTTAATAGTTTCCTCTATAAAAAGATAACAATAATGCCTGATTTTGTATTGCCTGCAATGACAGTCTAATTTCCTAAAGCGGTGCTTTTCCTGTGAGTTCCAGGACACAAGCACACCAGGGCACAGGGTGCCCTTCTGCAGGTAGGAGTTTCATCAATCACCATGCACTATTTTTTGGTTGTGTATTTAAAAGATACGTTGTGTATTTTAGCCATAAAGGACAAGAATAGTTAGAAGAAAAGTTACTTGGGAAAGCAGACTATGGTTTTGCAGTTCTGTGTCTGCTGCTGTCCTTTCATTATCTGAAGCTTTGCCATGCAGTGTTTTCTGAAGAGACTCCAACTTGAATTGCTTTAAATTTCAGGGGTGGAGGAGAGCTAGGCCTTCGCTGGCACAGAGATGGATGTCAGCATAATAAACTCAAAGGTCTCCATGACCTTAGGGCTTGCATCTCACTGCTGCACGAACTAGGATTTTCTCAGCCAAAACACACAGCACTGGCAGCTGCCAGTGCAGGAGGAGTTCTTGCAGGAGCCCTGTGCAACACTGACCCAGAACTTATCAGAGCCATGGTTTTGCAGGTGAGGTGCTGCAGACCTTTTACAGATTTTGACATTAAACTGTATTTTCTGTTTCATTCTACCAGTTTCAGAATTGGAAACATTCCAATTCAGATTTCACTTTCCTCATTTGTTTGAGAAAACCTTGACCTAGGCATTTAAGGTTCTGTGTCCTAATTGCAAACTTTTTTTTTTTTTTTTATAAATAACTTCAAAGGCTCCTTTTGTAGATGTTCTAAATACAATGATGCAAACTCATCTCCCACTGACAATTGAAGAACAGGAAGAATGGGGAAATCCATTAGCAGATGAAAAATGTCTGAAGTATATCAAAAGCTACTGTCCATACCAGAATATTAAGACCCAGGTAAAACTCTGCTCTCTGTGGGAAATACTACAGTAATAAAGTGTAGCAGTTTATAAGAAAACAAAAACAGAGAACTGGAATTTAAGGAAAAATTAGTTTATTTTACCTTTTCAGTACTTTAAACCTCAATATTTTAGAATTGTGTTAGCTGCTGCTTTGTGTTAAAATGAATCAACACAAACTATTTCAGTGATAGTAATATTTGGAGTCATAAGTGACTACTGAAATTAACCAAACACATTCTTGGAAATAATAGATTTCAAAAACTGTTTTTGTGGTAGGACTGCCAGGAAGCAATAGATTATTCTATTGCATAACAAACTTCAACATTTAAAATATCTCCTCCTTTTGTGGAGGGTTTTTGTTGTTCTGCTGGGTTTTGCAGAGTTTGTCACAGGAGGAAGGAAGTATTTTTCACCAATTAAATACCTTTTCAGAGGCACACAATTAAATGGGAAAGAGCTGTCACTTTGACATTGGAAGTTATGTGACAGCTGAGTTGCATAGCTTCATCAGGTAAAATCCTACTATATAAAACCAGTTACTTTTATGTATGGAAAGATTGCAAAAGTAAACCTCTGCTGTTTCAAGGAGATCCATTACATGATTATTACCCCCCTTTTTTTGTAATCATCAGCTAGCAGATGTGTCAGACCTTTACCAGCAGGGAAAGGATGCTTTTCATTACCTTTGGCAAGCAAATGATCCTCTAATGTGAAGTCATTTTTCAGACCAAAATTCTTTTGCAGTTAGAGAGCTGCAAGTCTGTAAGAGCAGGTAATTATGCAACAGATGTGCTTTTAGATGAACTGTAACAATTAGTACAGTCAGATAAGAAGAGAAGAATTTGTAACTTTGAGAAGAATCAAGTTGTCAGGTCTTTAACTAGTTTTGTTTTTTAAATCTCAGTGTTATCCTTCGGTTTTTATCACGGCGTATGAAAACGATCAGCGGATACCGCTAACAGGAGTTTTGCGGTATGTTCAGAAACTTAGGAAGGCTGCACTGGATCATGCCAGCAGAACTAGTCAGAAAGGTAAAAGAATAAGAATATTACAGATACATGGAGTGAACTAAACCAGAATATTAGTAGTCATATAAATAAACACCATGGAAGTTGACCCCTCCTTAAATGCATTCGTTTGTACAATACAATCCACTATCTAAAGCTCTGAAGTAATTTAGGTACCTGCAAAGATGAGGTGTGCAGTCATACTGACAAGAAGTAAATCTCAGCTTCTAAGATGCACTTTCTAGAGCCTTGAAAGGGACCAGATATCACTGTATTGTAGATCTGCCTGAAAAGAGTTAAACCCATATGTGTGAAATACTAATAGCAACAAACCACAGCAGGCTCAAGAAACCCTCTGAGGTGAAAAAAAAAAAATCAAGTGGGAGCATATGCACTGGGCTTGCTACTTTCTAGGCCTCAGCACATGGCAACTATTGGACAGGGCTAGCCCAGTGACTGAGACAGTCAGACTGCAGTTCTCAACAGCACATGGATACAGATCTTATTTTTCCTGCTCTATAAAAACTACTTTTCCCAGTTTGCTAAAACTACAGGTGCTAGTCCCAAGTTAGAATGGCAACAGTGCCTGCCAAAGTATAAATACCTTTATACCTGAAACTTAACACTAGCTTTGGCACTGTTTCCAGTAAAAGGTACATTCAAGCCTTATTATTTTCTAGTACCATCTAATCTGGGAGAGGCTTTTACCATCAGTACCAAAATAGACCATGAATTAGCTTTTCTAAATTTCATTATGCTGCTTCTCTGCTAGCAGCACAACTGCAGTGGCTGAGGAAGAACAGCAGAATCTGCAATTGCTGTTCCAGGCTTTGCTTAGAAAGATAAAAGCATGTTTTTTCAAAAGGACTCAGAGAACAAACACCCTAACTTTATAAACATGTATTTCATAGAAATACAAGTAGTTCATCCAGCAAGCCCCTGTATTATTCTATTTTTTTCTTAAAGCATAACAAAAATTGTTAGGACAAAAGGTAAAATTCCCTGTCCCTAAACAGCTCACGTCCCCACTTACCTTTTTCCATTGTTCATTCAATGTTGAGTGATTGGTAGCTTCATTGTTCCAGGAAATTGGATCCCTAATATCATCTTGGACATCCAGGCAACTGGCAGTCATTGTGATTCATCTTGGGAGGATTCACTCAATGAGGTACGTTTCCTTTATTGTACCCACCTATAACGTGTTGCAGGGAGGTGTCCCCTCTACTGATACCGTAGCCTCAGTAGTTCATGCAGCCATTGACATCTTTGTCAGTAATATGAACAGCGGAATTGAGTGCACCCTCAGCAGGTTTGCTGATGACACCAAGCTGTGTGCTGTGGCCAACACACTAGAGGGAAGGGAGACTATGCAGAGGGACCTTGACAGCCTTGAGAGGCAGGCCATGCCAACCTTACGAAGTTTCACAAGCCCAAATGCAAGGTCCTGCACATGGGTCAGTTGAATCCCAAGCAGAATTACAAGCTGAATAGAGAAGGGATTGAGAGCAGTCCTGCAGAGAAGGATTTGGGGGTGTTAATAAATTTTACATGAGCCAGCAATGTGCACTTGCAGCTGAGAAAGCCAACCATATCCTGAGCTTCATCAAAAGAAGCATGGCCAGGAGGTCAAGGGAGAGGAGTCTCCCTCTCTACTCACTTCTCATGAGACCCCACCTAGAGTATTGTGTCCAGTTCTGGAGCCCCCAACAGAAGGAGGACATAGAGCTGTTAGGAGTGAGTCCACAGGAGGGCCACTGAGATGATCAGAGGGCTGGAGCACCTCTCCTGTGAAGATGGGCTGAGAGAGTTGAGATTCAGCCTGGAGAAGAAAAGGCTCCCAGAAGACATTATAGCAGTCTTCCAGTATCTGAAGGAGCCTACAGGAAAGCTGGGAAGGGATTTCTTACAAGGTCTTGCAGCAAGAGGACAAGCGGGTACAGTTTAAGCTGGAAGAGGATATACTTACCTTAGATATTAGAATGAAACTCTTGACTGTGAGAGTGGTGAGACACGAGCTGGTTGCCCAGGGAAGCTGTGGATGCCCTGTCCCTGGAAGTGTTCAAGGCCAAGCTGGATGGGGCTCTGAGCAACCTGGTCTAAGGGCAGCTGCCCCTGCCCATGCAGGGGAGTTGGAACTAGGTCCATTCCAGCCCAAACCATTCTGAGATTCTGTGATCGAATGTTTGAAGTATTAAAAGGAAAAAAACTCAACAAAACCAAAATCAAACCTGCTGGAATTCAGGTTGTTCTCGCAGCCTTTTATACGTATTGCAAGAGCAACTGCTGGTTATTTACATATGTAATTACTTATATCTTGATATATACATACATGTATGCACAGGAAGTTCCACCTCAACATGAGGAAAAATTTCTTTACTGTGAGAGTAACAGAGCACTGGAACAGGGTCCCCAGAGAGGTTGTGGAGTCTCCTTCTCTGGAGACTTTCAAGACCTGTCTGGATGCCTTCCTGAGTGATGTGCCCTATTTTTTTTTTGGTCCTGTTCTGGCAGGGGGGTTGGACTCCCTTCCAACCCTCAACATTCTGTGATTTTATATTTAAAAAATATGTAAGTGCCAGTGACAGAGCCAGAGTATTGAACCTCCTTATGTCTTAAGCCTCACAATATTTTTAAATTCCCCGTGTAAAGTGCTGAGAGCTTTGAATGAAAGGCTTGAAGTTGTGCAAAACATAGTTCCAGCAGAAAAAGTCTTGCACTGTAGACTATGAAGTGCTTAAAATTGTCATACTGGCTATTTAATTCCATCTTCCTCACGAGTGAAACATGCATGTGGGGTTTGATCCTAGCATTTTGAAGTACATGATCTGTACTATCAAAGGACTCTACTACAATTATGTTTCAACATGTTGCACTTTCTAAAAGGGCACATGCAAAAAGCAGCCTACTGCCCAGGCCTACCATCTTGTTATTGATGTTTCAGACTATCCCAGCTGGATACAGATACTATTGCTGTTAATTTTACAAACCCTAGCAACTATTATTTGATTGTTGTGGATGTTATTCCCAAAATTAATTACTTCAGGGAAAGCCTTATTCTGTCTTGGGGCGAGGTGTTGCTTAGCATTAGCATGAGAAAAGAAGGTTAGAAGAGCTGTGCAAGAACCTGAAGGTTTATAGTACAGAGGTTTTTTTATTTTGTAATTATGTATTTTCATTGTTTTAGGTTGCAAGACACCTTGCTTTTCTGAACAAAGAGCTCGAGGAGGCATGCCATCTCCAACATCATAACAAATCCTACAAATAGCTAATAAATATATTGACCATCTGAAGGACTTCAGGTCAGATTTTTACTTATATGAAAAACACCTTCTTCAGAGGTTCTGTCCTCTTGGATCCCTGCTTTATGGGCATAAGCAGACAAGAGATTCAAAGCTGGATGTGATATACATATACAAACTAAGAACTCCTAAGGGGCAGCACCTAGAAAGCAGCTGTTCTTTCCTTACAAAAATACATACACTTAAAAAGGACATATTTCTATGACAGATTTACTTTGCTACTCCACAGACCCTGATGAGGAGTTTATACCATGCTTTTTCCTTTTCATCACCAATACAAGACAATTACGTATCCACTTTCTTTTTCAGGACATTTATTTTGTACACAAATAAAAGTTCAAAAAGCCAAAGAAAACAGAATTTTTTTAGCATTTCTCTGAAACCAGTATTTCCCAAACTAACATGGAGCTTGGTTATTCTACACCTGCACTTAACAGTTCACATAGAGTAAATTGAAGGCACTGGAATAACAAGCTTTTTCTGCCACAAAACAATTTCCTTGAAAAGCTTCCATAGTATGAACAGGCTTTGCTGTTTTGTATTCCAGGACCAGGCCTTCTCCCCTTTCAGTTTTAATTAGTTTGGTATTGACAGCTTTACCAGCATTGCTAAAATTAGTACTTAGTCTTACAATACCTTCAGATGGGAGGCTAGGAACTATAGCTTGCAGGTCTATTGTCGATTCCTGCCCAAAATTGAGAACCATCATAAAGACTCTGTCTAAGCCATCCAGTTCCCTCACGTACACAAAAACATTGCTGTCATTCCAGACGTAGCACATCCACCCTCGACTGACAGCCAGCTCATTGCTGCGAAGGAGAGTTAGCTCTCTGTACAAGTTCAGGGTTGAGTTGGACGAGGTCATCTGGATCTGCAACAATCAGCATTCACAGGGTCATTTGTTAGCACTGAATGTAGGAAATACTACTTACCTCTCACGCCCACGCAGTCTACTGAGAACATATCTGTTAGAATTCCATTTTGACAATTACCTCTCTTCAGATTTGCCTGCAAATTCCACTGAAAATCTGCTTTTCCTTAGGCACTTCCTTGGCACTTGGGAATGGCAGAGGTTACTAGGCAGGACAGAATTTTCCCAGCACTAATTATTTCATCCTCCCAGTGTCCTTATAGTACCATTTATCTGAGAGAAAGCCATAGTCATTTAAAGCTTTAGACTTGGTGAAAAATGCTCAGTATCATCTGCTAGTCACAGGGTTCTCTGTTTTATTTTTCCTGACTTTTATTTTCTGTTTGTTTTTCTTCAATTCTGGTCAGCACTGTAGATCAGCAAAATCTCCATGCACTGTTCAACTGCCTTGAAAAAAACTTTGTATGTAACTTATATGTTAGAGATGGTCCATGCTAAGTTCTTGTTACAAGACCAGGGCTTTCTATAATAGAAGTGAAAAATAGACCAGATTTCACTTGAATATTAGCATCCTTTTAATTATTTGAAAGAGCCAGATTTCCACATCTACATTATAATTGCAGTTGCCATGCATAAATGAATATATATATATATATATAGTAGACTCCCTGCTCATGCAAGGACTTCCTTTTCTAATAAAATTTGTTAAGATTCAATGCCTTTTTATTTTCCTCCTTTCAGTTTGTTTTTACTAGCTACACTACATCAATTCCCACTAAGTAAAAGACGGCAGAGCAAAACAGATATATTAAAACAATTTTCAAACCATTAGAGATAGTCACACTGCGATACCTACCTCAACATTTATACTTTGGTAGTCAGAGTGAACAGGTAACCAGCTACTGTTGCCTTCAGTAAAACCAGCATTAACTTTACCATCCCACTGCATGGGGGATTTCTCTGGAAAGGTTGCCTAGAAAATAAAATTATGTAGGAGCCATTACGAAGAAATTACTCGTTTCGATTAGTATATTCAAAAATTTATCCCATGAATAGCATGTTCTCACATCTGCCAAACGCTCAGGATTGCAGGATTGCTTTCTTTAATTTAGAATGTAATGAAGAGGATGTAATCCTGCTCCAAATCTAAAGGGGAAAAATAAGAATCAAGACAGTTCCTGAAATGGAGGAGCATGGATGGTGTCATGGATACAGCATCACTGGGTAAAATGTGGAATTCCCATTAGAGTTGTCTTCCCTTATAACAGATAGTTGGATAAAAGTTCACTAATGACAGCTAGGATATTCTGATAAATATGTAGACAAGGGGTACAATTGGACAGGATTGTGTTAGAAATATAAGATTATTTCCAAGTGCAAGAACTTTATGGAAAATCAACTTTTAGCAGATTAAAAAGTGTCAATATAAAAAGTCTTTAAGTTCTCATTTTGAAGAAATCAGAAAAATTTTGAAAAAGCTTCCTTGTTGTTAGCGGAGAGCTTGCCAGAAGATCTGACACATTAAATTTAATTATATAAGAGGGCATAAAATATCTTGCACATGCTTTGAGTGTTTGTTTTCCATGAAAACTGTTTTTCATATAGAGGGCAATTTTCAGTGCAATCTGTCAGAACAGCAGCTCAACAAAAGAAATTGTCACTTTGCTTTGTGACATTATAAATAACTGGTTTCTCCTTTTAGCACATTCTGAAAAGCTGGGGTGGGGGGAAAAATCCTAAATTTTCAACACTGCTAACACTCCCTTTCATCTTTACCTCTTTCAGCTTCTCCTGAATTATTTCAAATGCTGGTGCTAAAAACTATGCCCTGAGCAAATACTCTCCAGCTTTCTAAGACATTGATTAATCAGGGATTCCTCTTCCCCAGACTGAAACAAGAATGTTTTAGTGTTGTTACAAAGCCATAAGCCACAGCACAGCCCCTGAGAGAGAAAAAAACCCTGAGGAGCCAAGGGCAAGACACTTCTGAGGAGGGTCATTCTGTCAGCAGTAATTAGCAGAAGGAAGAAACTGCAGGAGGTATTTTGACCTAGGTGTTTTCAGAGGAAGCGGTTTTCCTTTTAAATCAGAGAATCTTTTCCTCATATCTGAATGAGACAAACCTGGTGATTGTCATGTGCAAGAATTCTTCCCTTTGTACCTGTTTCCCTTTGGCACAGGGATATCCAACACGGTTGGCAACATCATTAGAGGTTGTTTCATTCCCTAACAGAGGCTTTCTGAAAATTTCTGTAATCCAACACACACAAACATCCTATCATTGTTTATTTGTAGCTATGATCAAGCGAACTAGGCACCGAGTTCCCAGACTCAGGTACCTAAATCCTCTCTGGAAAGGAATCTAGAAGACAAGTCAAAAAACCCTGCACGACAAGCAAAAGCCTTTTTTACTTGCCACCGGGCAATGCTAAGCAGGGGCTGGTCTGTACACCCACCCCTTTCTGGAGGTTCCTTCAGAGCTTGGGCACAGAAGGAGCCTCCAGAATGGGGTGGCTTACACAGGTGCTTTTGCATACCCCGAGTAAAGCAGTCTGCAGGAGATGGTGACTGTAGCTCTGGTCTCTCGGGAATTCTGCTTTCTTTTAAATAGCAGCCAGGAAATAATGGTCTTTGACATAGCAATTAGGGTGCTTCTGTAGGAGGAAGGAGATAGCAGCTTGATTCCTCTTGCCTCAGATGTTTGCAACACACCTCTCCTAACCACTAGGCCAGGCCTGGCATTGGCACTTGCTGCTCCTTCTGCTGAAGCAAATCAGCACTGCTACAAAACTGATCTAGCAGAGGACACAAACCAAGAGCTATGATTGCAGTCTAGCAGTTCAAACACGCATCAAGGCTTTGGTTCTGGTCTCTGCCATTTCCATGTGCTGCCCGTCAGTGTTGCCATGGGAAACACCGAAAACCCCCTAAACCGTGAGAAAGACTGGGTTTGGTTAACTAAAGTTCTTGTATTTTTTGAAGTTCTGTTACTCAGAACTAAACAGCAACAGGGTCAGAATTCATAGGCTCTTCACTTACGGTTTCTGATGCAATGTTCTCCATGCCTATTTCTTCACCGTAGTATGTCACAGGAGTACCAGGGAGGGTTAAAAGCAGCATGTTTACAACATTGACATACTCCTTCCCAATCCGAGATGAAATCCGAGCAGCATTAGGGCTTCCAACCTGAAGAAAACATAATTCTGTTAAACACACATTACAAAATTCCATGCATATGTGAAATTAGTTACCTAATTTAACAAGGTATTAGGGTTTTTTCCTTTTTCTTACCCCTTCAGACCCATCAGGGCAAAAACCTGTTTTATCTTGGTGCCAGTAGAAACTTCTGACTCAGATAATTGAGCACACAGAAACCTTGCCAGCAGCACATGAGGCAGCAGTGGGGAGAGATGACAAGTAAGTCCCCACAATTACAGCTCCCTCAGACTTCTGCCATCCCCTCCGCCCTGTGAAGGACAGATCTCCTGAACATCCTGAACATGATTCTAGCAAAGACCAGCAAGGTTTTAACTGCCCTCACCTGCCTGCTCTGTTCTTCCCTGGCCTTGAGAGGTTTCCAGAATCCATTGCACCAAGTCAGCTTACAGACAAAGATAACTGTACCAATCCCACCTTCACTGGTGATTTAAGCCAATCTCCCATACTACATCAGAGACAGCATGGGAGAGGCATGCTTGTAAACTCCCTTCTGTCACCCTTGCACAGGGGGCATAACTGTTATTGAAGGGGAGGACAGCCAGCTGCTTGGCCAACACCAACAACTGTGACTTTGGTGGGCTGACAGTTTTACATGGATATCAACTATAGCCAAGCCATGGGCTCAGGCTGCTGCTGATCCCACTGAAATCAGTGTGCATGTGTGTGGGAGGTTTCCATCACCGTAAGTGAAATGATAACCTATAGGTTTCTATCAATAACCAATAGAAACAAGCCCTTCCTATAACAGTTGGTCTAGAACTCTTACCGCCCAGTTTGGCCATTTTCCTGCAGGCATGTTTTTCATCCACAAGCTGACGGCTTCAAAAATACTGTTGCCTGATAGACTTTTCATGTTAATTAGGTTGAAATTGAGAG